CAGTGCAGTGTCACTCTCTCGCTCTGGTGCACACACACACACACACACACACACACACGCATGCACATACACATACACATACACATTAGTCCAGAATAAGCAAAGCCCGAGTTCCACAGGAAATTAAAAGATGAGATAACCTGACATAAAAGTGATAAAAGGACCTCACGGGCTTGTGCATATGTCACAATATGTTTCATTAGCCTATCCTTGTTGATTCTATGAACGAATAAAGTAAAATATCTATACTGATCATGTTTCAGGCCTTTACAGTTGAAGCTGTTTCTTTCTTCCTTTATGGCTATATCTCTCTTTTCCTGTGGTCCATTAATAATGAACCAATAGAAAATTAGTGCAGCCCTGCTGATGAGTTTGCATTGATATCTGAAGTTACCGGATACAAAACCAGCACCTCACGCACACTTATCAGCCTCATCACACACACACTAAGAAACACTGAAACCTGTACACACACACACACACACACACACACACACACACACAAACAAATTTATCAGTGTTTTGATCAGAGAGTTCACAGGAAGGCCAAAACTAAAACATGCTCATTTATACAGCATTACTCATATGCATTCTTAAAGGAATACTGCATAATTCTTATTTTATTTTATTCTATTTTTATATTTTTTATTTATATTTTATAAATATAAGTAGTATATTTTAGTAGTATACTTATTTTATAAGTATAAATAGTTTTTTAAAATTTTGTTTAGTTTTTTCAACTGCTTACAAAGGGCAAGTTTTACTAACAGCTTGCGCCAGCGCAAACCGCCATTTGGCGTTAAAATAGTACTGTCAGGTTTTACTAAAGACGCGCAGTGAAAAGTGAAAAGGCATGGACACAGTTATTTTTGCGCCTGACCTTATTGAATATGCATTTGTAGGAGTTTCCCTTTCAGACGCAAAATTTATGGGAGGAGAGTATTCAAATGAATCACCAACGTGTTTTACTAAGGTTTGCGCTCGTCAAATTACTGGTATTTGCGCCATTAACGCCCCCAAAAAAGCATGTCTTAAACTATTTTGTGCTTGAAATGGCTGCTAGGAGGAGGCACCGCAGAGAACAGAGAGCGCATGGTATGTTTTCTGTAAATACACTAAAAAGTCACTAAAGTATGCTTGTGTTTAGCATATTCCTTAAAAGTGTAATTAAAAATATATTTATTGCCAAAGTATTTCTAGTATACTTTTTATAAATACATTAAAAGTATGCTTCTGTTTAGCATATTTTTTAGAAGTATAACTAAGCATATATTTAATACAAAAGTACTTCTAGTATACTTTTTAGAAATATATTAAAATGCAATTCAATATATTTTTATTGCACTTCAAATAAGCATGTTGGGAATACAAATGTATTATAAACATACTACTTGAATTTCAAGTATATTTTTAATACATTTAATACTACGTCTTTTTCACCTGGGAAGGGAGAGGATTTTTTCCACAAATATTAATTTATTTTGAATGCCAGATGAATACATTATCCGAACATATCGTTTGCCAAGCCATGTTATGTTTAATTTGCTTCAGGAAATAAAAGACGACTTGGAACCCTCAACTAGGAGTCACGAAATACCAGGTCTATCAAAACTTTTTGCAACCCTTCATTTTTTGGCCTCCGGTTCTTTTCAACGTACTGTGGCTTCTTCATTTCTTTATTCTTTATTTGTGACTATGCTAATTTGCGCTGCGCTTGGTAGATTGCGTTGTTCGATATGTAAATGAGATGCTGCGTCTGTGTTCTTTAATTTGCGTGTTGTTAGTAAATCACCCGCAGAAATGTCCACACCCATCGCCGTTGTTTTGGAATTGCGCTCTCGCGCTAATTTGCCCTGTTTAGTAAAACTGGCCCAAAATCTTTACTTGTCACACAATTTCTGAAACCTGACACTCAAACACCAGAACCACACACCAAATCTGCAAAACCATACACTAATCCTCGGCCTTTGACTCAGTTTTCAGTTTCATAAAACACATTTTGCAAAACACAACACACAATTGTAACACAAAAATTACAGGGAAAAAAAAACTTGTAAAAGTGCATGTAGCATCCTATGACCCCTTTAAACAAACATTTAAATAAACATTTTCTTAAAGAGACAGTGTAACCGTATCACTTTTATTGTCTTAATTGTTCTAATTTTATCAACCTTAAGGAGGACCTTCACATATCCCTAAGATAATATTTCATTTTATTTCCATACATTTAGTTTAATATATTTTTTTCTTTCAATTTTGTGGTAAACATTTGTAAGTCACTTTAATCAAATAGGCCTACTTAATAACCAAAAACCGTTAATAGCTTCTACAGAACAAATTCTGTGTTTATATGTTTATATTGGCTGGTAAACAGTCACAGTCATCGATGTGACATTTGTCAGTGTCTATCTCTTTCCTCATGGGGAAAGTTGTGATCAGTATTGATTAGAAGGTGAAGGATTCGTGTATAAACAGATCTATAGCTGAGGCTTTCTAAACAAAGTGTTAGCTAACAGACTTCCTATTGGTGCCCGCATTCATTTAGTTTATTGCCTTGATTATCAGGCTTCTAGTCTGTACTGGAGCAATATTGACTCGCATAGGAAAGTTATCGAAGGCACACGTAACATTTAAGTGCATACACTTAAAGTAAACACACAGAGCAGAGAGCTGGTTGTTGAAAACCACAGGTAGAAGTTTCCCGAACACAATAAGAACTGTTTCAAAACTACACAAAGAGAAAAAGGATTATATCTCCCATAGGAAAGAAAAATGAGATTTCTGTAATGTTGTGGTTGTTTTCACCTAGACAGCAGTTAATTAGATTATAATAAGAGCAAAGAAATACTTATTTATTATTAATTATTGTTCATAGTTTGTCTTCTCTAAGGTTTCAGAAGAAATCTCAACAGTGTCTCAAAAAATCTGTGATAAAAAGTCAAATCTCAATATGAACCAATGTTTTTGTTAACTAAAATTATTAAAAATCATTTTCAGTAATTAATATAAATCTGAAATAAAATAAAATGAAATATAAATATTAAAAGAAAAACTTTTTTAAAAACTTGGCAATTAACTGAAAAAAGTACTACAATTATTAAAACTATAATAAAAATTAAAGCTAAATTGAAATATAAAAACTGAAACTAATAAAAATGACAAACCACAGAAAATTACTTGAATTAAAATTATAAATTTGAATATAAAAATAAAAGCCAATTGAAAATGTGAATAAATACTATAATGGTATGTAAATAACAAAAAATAACACTAGCATGAACTTGAATTTCTCATCAAATACTACCAAATAGTAAAATTATCTGAGCTATTCTGTCCATATACATTTAAAGTTGCTGCATATATTACTGAATTAAGTGAATTAGATTATATATATCAGTCATTTTGAATGTTCATAGGACAGCCCATAAGCAGGAATTTTGTAGTTGAGTAGGTGGATTTTGGAAAAGATGGGCATGTCTAACAGTCCCAGAGAGGCTAATATCACTTACTGCACCTTTAAATGGAGCATAAAAGTGAAGTAATGTCCCCTGAGCTATTAAAGAGCAATCTTTGAGCAATAAAATGTTCCTCTGGGCTGACCCCGATCATCTAACTGGGGACTGATTTACATCTATTTATCTGTCAGTTTCAGTATAGATTTAAAGGGTTAGTTCACCCAAAAATGAAAATTAGCCTGTGTTTTACTCACTCAAGCCATCCTAGGTGTATATGACTTTCTTCTTTCAGACAAATCCTATCGGAGTTATATTAAAAATTGTCCTGGCACTTCTATGCTCTATCATTGTAGTGGGCGGGTGTTTCTGTTCAACAGTCCAAAATACGTTAAATAAAGTGCACGCATCTATAATAAAACGTGCCTCACACCAAGTAGGTATAACTGCAGACCAGAGATCTCCAACATGGGGCGTGAACTCCAAAAGTGGACAGAACTTCCAAAATGGGGCGGGGTCTCCTCACGCAAAGACTTTCACCATTGGCTCTGGCTTCAGCCAATCGTTATTGACTTACATTTCAAAAATAAAACTTCATAAATTAAGCATCGTTTCTAGTTGATCTAAAATCACATATGCTATATAAATAAATATGCTCTGTGAGAGCAGAGCCCAAAGCTCGTGGCCAGTGGTGTTCGGACTGGAGTTTGAACCTTTGCTTCATGATATAAACGGGAATCACCCATGAGCTCTCCCGCCAGCCGTCCCAGCGCAGCGCAGGGGAAAGATTTTACTCTATCGCTTTGTTTTAAGCAACGGGGCTTAAGATTCACAGGGTAACGTTAGGAGGGGGTAGTGAAGCTGGGTGCAACTAAAAAGGTGCCATTGTCCGGTGAGGTCCGGTTGGGGAGTTACGGAACAATCTCATATCGCATAATCTTATTAACTGTTTATCTCCTGAACTGCAACTTTCTTTACCACGCTATTCAGCGCCAATCCTGCTGTGCAGTCCATTTCACTGGCTAAGGTTAGGGTCAGGTGTGGGGTAGGTTTATATTTGTATTTCCTGTGTCAATTTGTCTCACATAAACGAAAGCTCTCCATCTAACATCTGAGTCATCTGCAGAGGCGGACAGTAACTAAGTACATTTACTTGATTATTGTACTTAAGTACCCTTTTTGAGTATCGGTACTTTACTTGAGTATTATTTTTTCTGGGAACTTATGACTACTTTAACACTACATTTGAAATACAAATATTGTACTTTTCACTCCACTACATTTCTATCAAGGTCCTCGTAGTAGAAAGTCGTTATTATGTAGCAGCTCTATCTAATCACTCTTGTAGGGCTACATGAAATTATTTTCCAGCATTTTTTGAACACTGACCAGTTTCGCCACGCCCTATTTTGGAACTCCAACCCCGTTTTGGAGTTCCCTCCCCCATTTGGAGATCTCCAGGCTTCAGTTATACCCTTCTCCCTCACACGGCTCCGGGGGGTGAATAAAGGCCTCCTGTAGCAAATCCATGCGTTTTTGTAAGAAAAATATCCATATTTCAGACACAATAAACACTTTTCTCTCACTGGCGTATGCAGAAGCGTTCCGGCGGATGACATAGGACGTATGCGTGGCACGCGTGCCTCTGAGATATGCTAGTCTCACGAGTTTGTTTAAGGAAGCAAAGTTTCCTTTCTTTAGCAAAGGAAAACCAGTCCCCTCTTGGTTTATATCAAAAGCCTCCGACATTTTTCTTTACAATCCTCATTTGTGCTTCTAATTCATAACCGGCATTTTGCTTTGTTCTCTCTCCATGTTTGTCACTAATCATGCAATGGCGACGTCCTACGTCATCCGCCGGAACTGCTTCCACATATGACAGATAGCGTAAGTGATAGAAAAGTGTTTATTCCATTTGAAATATGGATATTTTTCTGACAAAAATGCATGTATTCGCTACAGGCAGAGGCGGACAGTAACTAAGTACATTTACTTGATTATTGTACTTAAGTACCCTTTTTGAGTATCGGTACTTTACTTGAGTATTATTTTTTCTGGGAACTTATGACTTTAACTTCACTACATTTGAAATACAAATATTGTACTTTTCACTCCACTACATTTCTATCAAGGTCCTCGAAGTAGAAAGTCGTTACTATGTAGCAGCTTTGAAAGTCAGTGGGTGATTTGTTTCTTGTCTAAAACGTGACTAAAGTCTTTTTTAACAGTTTATCAGTAATCACTCTTGTAGGGCTACATGAATTGATTTCCCGCATTTTTTTGAACACTGACCAGCTGCAAATGTGATATTTATTTACAACAATTCAATAATAAGAAGTAAATGTTGTGGTATATATTAGACACAATATTGTCAATTTTTACAATTGTAATGTAATTTGACCAGCAGTATCTGTACTTTCACTCAAGTAATGGAGTTGAGTACTTTGTCCGCCTCTGGCTACAGGAGGCCTTCATTCACCCCCCGGAGCCATGTGAGGCACGTTTTATTATGGATGCGTGTGCTTTATTTAACGTGTTTTGGGCTGTTGAACAGAAACACCCGCCGACTACAATGATAGAGCATAGAAGTGCCAGGACAATTTTTAATATAACTCCAATTGTATTCGTCTGAAAGAAGAAAGTCATATACACCTAGGATGGCTTGAGGGTGAGTAAAACACAGGCTAATTTTCATTTTTGGGTGAACTAACCTTTTAAGTGTGAATTTGTGGTTAAGTATGTGTGTGTGTTCTACAAAACCATATGGCAGCTCAGTTCAGGGGCAAAACGACAGCAGGCCAATCTTTGGGAATCTGTGAAGAGTTGAGGACATTGTTGTTGCACCGGATCCCTTTGTAAGCTTTGTGTGTGTGTTTGTTTGTGTGTGACCTGAAAGCTGCTCAGCAGTAGGCAAGCTTAACCTAAAGACATGGTCACTTAACCCACCTCGCACATGTGTGTGTGTTTGTGTGGTAATGCCAGTGGTGGACGAAGTACACAAATCAAGTACTTGAGTAAAAGTACAGATCCGTATAATAAAATATTACTCCAGTAAAAGTAAAAGTACTCAGTTTTCAATTTTACTCGAGTAAGAGTATACGTTCTTGAATCAGACACCGCTTCTGCGTCTCGGAGCCCGTGATATATTATAAGGAGTAACGATAAGTTTTATGAAATGTAGTGAAGTAAAAAGTACGATCTTATACTTTGGAATGTAGTTAAGTAAAAGTAAAAGTTACTCAAAATAAAACTACTCCAGTAAAGTACAGATACTTGAAAAATGTACTTAAGTACAGTAACGAAGTAAAACGACTTCGTTACTGTCCACCACTGGGTAATGCGCATGTATACAGCATGCACAGCTGCAAACTACCACACATTCATTTGCTACACTCTTCCTTTTCCTGTTCTTGTGCACCGACGGCCCTGTCTGTCACTCTTTGAGTCAGACGGCTCAAATTCTCCCCAGCGCAACCCTGTGCTCGCAGCAGGCTGTCAAAAATCAGCCCTCTCAGAAAAAATTATGATTTTTTTCCTCACGTCTAGGCCACTATGCAGTCGACACAGCGGTCCAGCGCAGATTAGGCGGCGGTGATGGATAAAACCCTGGAAATTATTATTCCACAGATTGAGTGTGTGTGTGCAGATGAGGTGAGTGTGGATGCAAAGGGATTATTTGTACGTGAAGCTTTGTGTTATGGTTATCTAGGGAAACTGCTGTACTCTTATAGGGTAAAATACAGACTTTTATCTGTGCTTTAGTAGTATTTTTAGAGGACTTTGTGTGAGAAAGGTCATTCGTATGTGTAAATGTGCAAGAGGGGTTCTTGCTGATCTGCATGAAATGGTATTCACAACCCATTAAAATTCTGTAATGTGGCATATTTCTGAGTGAAACAGCATATTCAATGAGAAATTTGTGAGATGGGACTTGATTTTATCCATTGGGGATAGTGAACATTTAAATATGATGTTAAGTTACGACTTGTGAACTTGTCTTTCTGTTTTTGTTATTTAGTCTCTTGACATCAGTGTCAACTGTCAACCCAGTTATAAAACCACAACGGTAACATATACATTTCCTGGTTGTGTCAAAGACTGACCTGTCCTCTTTGATCTGTGGTAAATCTTTTGATTATTTAGGTCAGGGTTTCAACTAGGAGCATCTGCTGCAAAAAGGCAACCAGCATCTCAACATAAAAGGACAGCTATAGCTGCCTTCAAAACAAAGGTTTAAAACACTTTAGATTTACAGTGGGTACGGAAAGTATTCAGACCCCCTTAAATTTTTCACTCTTTGTTATATTGCAGCCATGTAAATTTAATTGGTACTTCCTTGTGACAAAGACAGAGAATATTTTTTCTGTATCATCTTTTCTTACATTTAATCAGTGCAATTGTCTCTCTGTGAGGTTGAAGTCTAATCTTCCTCATCATCTGCTCCATTTGTTTGTATAGGCCTGTTTCTGTCTGTTTATTTCATGAGGAACAACCACAACATCACCACCACTCTACAAAGGGACTTAGTTATCATATTTTACAGTAACACCTGTGCAGTGGTAGCTTTTTAAATGGTAATTATCCTAATTTCTCCTTTGTTAAAATCAAAGGTCATTTGGGATAATAAGCCACATCTGGTAGACCCTCTTTCAAAAAAATCCCACTGTGGTTGCACGGATTTAAATCCAAGCCTTTATAAGGTTGCTTGTATTTCATACAAGTTTTTTATTTTATTTACAAACAATAAGCTATTTTAAATGACATATTTTACCAAACCCAATTTGAAAACACACAGATGCAAATGAAGCACTTTAGTAGCAAAAAACTAAATTCTTACACAGCAGGCTACATTTGGTGACCTGACACTTTGGTTTCTGTAAAAAGCTATTATTATTTATTATTCATCATGATTTTCAAAACATTTAAAATTTTACTGGGATCCAATTTGTTGATTGCACATTATCCTCCACTTTCATCTGATTGCCTGTGTATTCTGTTCCCCCCTCCCTTTGCTTGTCTGCAGGCTCTGTGCTGACGAGGCCTCCCCTTTCCGTGCCTGGAATATTCTGGGTCCCAGGAGGGTTTTTTTGTCATCACCATGATCAGATTCTTCAGGAGACTCTAGCACTGCAGACCCCCACCAAGGAGGGAAGAGGCTGGGCTTGGAACCCTGTATATCCCAAATTCAAAGTCGGACATAGTGAAGGACCCAAGAACCATGTAGTATACCTCTTTCCGCCACAGGGGGGAGGGAAAACTTTGTAGTTCTTTTTTTGTACAGTTTTTTTTTTTTTTT